TAATATTTAGACTTAATTATTATGTTTTAATAACTTATTTTAACAAATGGTGTGTATATTACAGATAATTTTCCCTTTTAATTTTTTTGAGACAGAGTCTTGCTCTGTCACCCCAGCTAGAGTACAGTGGCATCATCACTGCTTACTGCAACTTCAAACTCCTGAGCTCAAGCGATCCTCCTGCCTCAGTGTCCTGAATAGCTGGGACTATAGGTGTGCGCCACTATGCCTGGCCAATTTTTCTATTTTTTGTAGAGACGTGTCTTGCTCTTGCTCAGTCTGGTCTCAAACTTCTGACCTCAAGTGATTTTCCTGCCTTGGCCTCCCAAGGTGCTTGGATTACAGGTGTGAGCCACTGTGCCCAGCCAATTTTCCCTTTTTAAATTTGTCTTTTAAAGTTTAGTAAGAGGCAATGTAGCCTAATATTCAATAGTCTTAGCTTTGGAGTTGGCTACCTTTCTACATTTGAATCCTGACTCCTCCACCACTTTCCAGCTGCATGACCTGATACATTAGTTACAATCTTGAAGCCCCAGATTTTTCGTTCCCCCTGTCCTTTCTCAAGGAGCTGCTCTGAGCACTCTGGCCAGTGCGCAGGGCGGGAGCTCTGCCGTTGGCTCTTCTGCGGAGCACTGGGTCTGTGCACGCCTCCCTCTTCCGCCATGACTGCGCCACTCCATTGTCTGTGTCCAGCATGCGGTAACGAGCCAATCTTTTGGTGACTGATTTTCTGAGTCCTTGCCTGTCTGAAGCTGGAGTAATTTTTGTTTTCTGTCGAGCATGACTGCTAGTTTCAATTGATGCAGAATTCCAGGATTGCCATTTTTCTCCCTTAGAATTATGTAAAGTTTTTTCTCTTTGCCTGCTGACATTTTTAGTGTTGCTGAAAAGATGTCTGAAACAGGCAGAGTCTTTTTTCTCTGAAGGGAATCTTCCTTTTCTGTTTTGTTCTAATTAGAAGCTATGGCATTTTCTCTTCATTTTTCTTAATTTTTGGAATTTAGACATCTAGTAGGATATGCCTAGGGGTATGTCTTTTTTTAGTGATTCTGCCTGATACTCCGGGACATTTTGTATTGTAGACTCAAGTCTAACCTCAGATTATGTGGGTTTTTTTTCTCATTTTTAAAATCATTGCGTTATATCCTTTCTACTCTATTCTTCTAGAATTCATGTTGTGCATTGTTAGAGCTCCTGGATTTGTCTTCCATCCCTATTCCTTGAATTTTCTCCCATTTTCTTTTGTTTTAAACTAATATATCATTTTTCCTCCACCTTGTTTTAAGTTTAACAAGGATGGACACAAAAAATGTTTTGGAAAAATAAAAGGTAAGTATTTACATATTATAACTTTATCTTACCTTTTTTTGAGACACCCTCCCCCCCAGTAGTGGCTGTATCAGTGTTTACTATCATCAAGGTTAACAACATGTAAAGTGCACTTCCAGTCCTGATAATGTATAATTAGGGTTGTGTGTATTATGTTTGTATTTGTACATTTTTATAACGTGCTTTAGATTGTGTCATGATTGACAAGGTGTCATTTTAAGTCGTGCTCGTTTAATTTCACTTCTTATTTAAATTTGGCTTTACCATTTTATTATGGTTTTAGGAGAAACTAATTCGAGATATTGCTCATTGTCATGGGATTTTGATCACATCTTACTCCTACATTCGACTGATGCAGGATGACATGAGCAGGTATGACTGGCACTATGTGATCTTGGATGAAGGACACAAAATTCGAAATCCAAATGCTGCTGTCACCCTTGCTTGCAAACAGGTATGACCTCTGATAACAAGGGGCATTTTCAGGTGGAGAATAGTATTTAATTGAGAAGAAACGACCTGCATTTAATAACACATTTATTGAATCTCTCTTTGTGCCTTTCATAAAAAATTAAAAATAGGCATTTTGCCTAATGCAGAAAATTCTTTATTTTTGCTCATAATCATGTTTTTAAATTCTGATTGTTCACATTATTTAACTCTCTTTTAGGGGTCAGTTGTTAGAATGTAACCCAATCTAACTCTAATCCATAGTATTCAGCTTGAACAATAAGAAAAAATTCTTCCCCTTTTTTTTCATGTAAATGTAATTGAAGAATTATAATTGCATAAGATGTCTGTGTTTTGGAGAGGCCCAAAATGATGCAGGAACTGAAATGATGACTAAAGGTATTAAATAACAGTATTGCATGAGAGTGTTTTCGGGTAGGGATGGCGATCATCTGTTAGAAAGTGAATTTAACAAAAAAGATATTTTCTTTCCTCAAATAGTTCCGCACCCCTCATCGGGTCATCTTGTCTGGCTCACCAATGCAAAATAACCTCCGAGAGCTGTGGTCCCTCTTTGACTTTGTCTTCCCTGGAAAGTTAGGCACATTGCCTGTGTTTATGGAGCAGTTCTCTGTCCCCATCACCATGGGGGGATATTCAAATGCTTCACCGGTACAGGTAACGTATTAGGCAGCTAACACTTTTGGCATTTTAATGTTTTAAATGGTCTTATTAAATATTATACTTTTTGGCCAAGTCATTCAGAATGTAAGAAAAATGGCCAGGCTTATAAACTGGTATCTGGTAAAAATCACCAAATTATTTTTGCTTGATCATATTTTTTCACTTAAAAAATCATGAGAAATATTTGTTTAGAGGAAAGCCCTAGAATAATAACTTCTCCTTGTGTAATAACAATGAAACAGTTTCAGTGTTGGTTGTTCCTGGAATGTTTCAGTCAGATAAGAAATAAAAACAAAATGTCACGTCTGGTTGGAAGAGTAGTCAGAATATGAAACAAGTGAATCAGTTCTGGACAGCATACAATTCAATTGTGCAAATTGGGTAGTGTATTTTTTTTTTTTAAAGTTTCGTGTGGTTTCTATAAGATTAAAGTTTATTTCTCTTGATGAGCATTTGGGGTGGATGTGGTAAGACTCAGACTCTCCCCCACCCCCTCCCCCCTTTTTTTTTTTTTTTAGAAGATCTTGCTTTGTCACCCAGGCTGGAGTACAGTGGTGTCGTCATAGCTCACTGCAACTTCAAACTCCTGGGCTCATGCAATCCTCCTGCCTCAGCCTTGCAAGTAGCTGGGACTACAAATGCTTGCCACCACACCCAGCTGATACTCAAAAATTTTTTGTAGAGATGGGGTCTCACTCTTGCTCAGGCTGGTCTCAAATTCTTGGCCTCAAGTGATCCTCCTGCCTTGGCCTCCAAAGTGCTAGGATTACAGGTGTGAGCCACCGTGCCCGGCCAGGTAGTGCATCTTATAAAGTAGTGGAGAAACTTAGAAAAGTGGACACCAGGGAGGACTGGATTGTTCAGGGAAGACTTAATGAGACATGTATCTTTTACCCTGATTCTGGGAAAATGGGCCACGAAGCACGAGGGCATTCTAGATTAGGGCAGTGGTGTGAATGTGGCCACCTTATATGGCTGAGGGCAGTGAAGAGACCCACTTGATTGGCTTGGGGATGCTGTGGGGTGGGGACGTAGCTGGAGAGCTGTGGGTGCTGGGACTGACCGCCTTGAAAGGGCGCACTCAGGGAAGGCTGGGCCACTGTGGGTGTCTGAGCAGGACGCTACGAATGGAGACGGTGGCTGTTGGGGGTTGTTCAGGCTGCAGAGCAGTCACTGGAGGGAGGCTGGCACTGAGGGACCTGCGGGAGCCATTGGGGTGAGGGTGGTGAGAACCTGGACCCAGACATGGTGGTCTGAGAAAGATGGTGGGGAGCAGGAGACCCAGATGACATTTTTAGGCAGAACAAACAAGCTGTGGAGGCTGATGAGGTCCAAGAAAAGTGGAGGGGGCGGGGAGTGGTGAGCTTGCTGCAGCTGAGCCCTGAGGTGTTAGGCCTCGGTGGTGGGTGGGATGGGTTGTCACAGGCAGGAAGATCAGGAGGCGAAGCCAGCCCAAGGGCGGTGTGTGGCCTGTGGGGCAGGCTCCAGCCTTGTAGGAGGCAGGGTGTGTGTGCAGCCCTCAGGCCGGCCTGCGCCTGCCAGCCCACGACTGAGCCAGGGATCAGGTCTTCCACCGAAAGCGACAGTCTCGTGTTTTGGAATATTTAATTAGAACAAGAATTTTAGACTTTTAAAATAAGAGGATTGTCAAAAACAATTTTAATATCTTTTACATTTTGAGATTGAATGGTTTTTGATTAACTTTTGTGAGGACTCTCGTCTTTCTCTGAATCCCTTCAGTTATACCATTCTTTTTTTAAACAATTTTTTGAGATAATTTAAAACTTAATGAAAAGTTGCAAAAATTGTGAAAAAAGAACTCCCATGTACACTGTACGCAGATTCACTGATTATTAGCATTTTGCTAACATTTTGCCACATTTGCGTTATCATTCCTTCCCTCCCTCTCCCCCATTTCCCTGTATATATGTACAAAATGAAAGCTGTTTTTTTCTGAATCTTCTGAGTAACTGGCAGACGTGACTGGGTTGGAGGATTGGATTTCCTCCAAATTCTTCAGTGTATATTCCTAAGAACAGGGACATGTCTGACATAACCACAGTGTAAATCATCAAAATCAGAAAATTTGACATTGATATATTTCCGTTATCTAATCTGTAGTCACTCACATTTTTCCAGTCATTCTGGTAGTTTCTGTATCTCTTTAGTCATCTTTAATCTGGAGCAGCAGTTCCTCTAGTCTGTCTTTTGCCTTTCACGACTTTGACATTTTTGAAGACTACAGGCCTGTTAGTTTGTAGAATGTACCTGAACTTGGGTTTGCCGTACATTTCTTCGTGATGGGGTTTGGGTTATGCATCTTCAGCAGGATACCGCAGAAGTGGTACGTCTTTCCTAGTGCATGGTATCTGGAGGCACACGCTGTCGGTTTGTCCCATTGTTAGCACTGTTAACTGTGATTACTTAGGTAAGGTAGCGCTGGCCAGATTTTGAAGCTCTGTGAGGCTACCACTTCTCCTTTGGAATCAATAAGTCATTTGTGGAGAATTGCTTTGAGAGCATGTCATTATGGTCTGTTTCATCCTTGAAGTTCTTATTTCAGGAGTTTGTGCACTTACCTTTTTTCCCATCTAGATGGTAAGGTCCTTGAGAGCAGAGGTGTTGGTTTTATTTGCTCCTTTTTGTTTAAGTGATGGTTGCCATGCGTTATTGAATCTTTAGAAGGTAGTCTGTCTGCAGGTATTTTTTTGTGTCAAGCTGGGGCTAAAATGATGGGAGGGGGCTGGAAACCAGAACCTTCCCTCGACTAGTATTCCTAGTTGAGTGGGGGGGTGGGCTGGGGGAAAGTGACAGATAAACATGGGCCTAGTACTGGGTCCTGAGGGCTGTTACAAGGGGGGATACTCAATATCAGAGCTTGTGGGGCTCAAGCAAGGATTCCTGGAGAAGGAACGACTAATCCCGGGCCTGAAAGGTGGAGGAAGGTGAGCGGGAAGCATTGGCTGCCCGGGAGCAGACTGCTGCTGGGACTGGTGTGCTCTGCTGGGGCAGGGAGTGTTAGAACTGAAGAGAAACTGCGGGATGTCTAGTTGAACCTTCTCATTTCATGCTCATGTTGAGACTCAGCGTTTTGGCAACTTGCCTAAGGTCACTGTGCTCTGGAAGAGGCAAAGTTCCACGTTTGGAGGAACAGGAAGAAGCATGGGCATGCTCAGCGAGGTCTCTGCTCTCCATAGCTTTGGGGGCATTGGGAGCGATAGAGAAATCCAAATGGATCTCCTCCTTGTGTTTTTACTAACAGCAACAGACTTGGAGCCAGTTGGGAATTAAATATAAGATCATCACGCAGGAGGGAGCAGGAGCCCAGTGGCTGGGTCACTCACCAGCTCGGCCCTGGTTTAGTTGACCAGCTCCCCAGCCAGTGTGCTCATCTTCTGGGGGAGAGCATGGGCAGAGGGAGGGCGTGGCGGTGGTTTCCTTAACATACTGCATATACTTGCTCCCTTGGTGGCATGATAATGTTAACTGTTAAATTCGGAAATTTCATTCTCTTTGCACCAGAAATTGTAATATGTACCTCATCATCATCTTAAAGGTAATTTTTATCCATGAATGATATATTTACGGGGTTATATGCAACTAAAAGTTGTTGATTACTTGAGCTTCTTTGTTGTCTGTCACTCCAAGTAAACCCTGTGTTTTATATTTATGTACCACATTCACACAACACACACACATACATATATTAATACATACATGTATACAGACTTGGGCGAGGTGTTCTTAAGGTCTTTTAAAATGTTTTCTTTTTTAACATGTTAATTTTTTTAACTTGAGTTTTTCTGTATGTACTATGTATGATCAAGCTCTCGTTATGATCAGTTTACAGCTGACTTTCTTACAGCTGACTTTAAACTTGGCTAGAACTTTTTTTCTATGAAACAGTAATTTACTAAGTTGTTAAGCCTATTTAGATTTTTTTCTAAGTATCAATAATTTATTGAATTCTTTGTTTGCCTTTAAGTGAATTGCAGATGGAGTGGTTTCCTGGGCGGGTCTTTGTTTTTCTGCACACAGTTAGTGCCCATCTCATGTGGCCGTGCTCCATTATGGAACCATATGCTCCATTTTAGGGCAGAGTGACCTTTCGTTTCTGGGATCAGAGGGCTCTTCTCGGATTTACTCTCGTAAGTCTCCAGTGGGCAGTAATCTCTGCTTATTGGCTGGTCGCTCCCATTGCTGCAGCTTTTCTGCAGAGTTAGCTTTTGATCTTCAGTCTTGCAGAGTAACAGTTCCTTTGTAGCTTTTGGAGAGTACAAGATCATAAGCAGAGATTCATGTGTAAGCGGTTTTTCCCCTAGAGGGTGGTCAGGAACCAAATAACTCTACTTTAAGTTTTAACTATATAATAATAATTTAAGCAAAGCATAGAAGAGGAATAAGGCACAAAATTATCAGGGTTTTTTTTGGTCGTTGTACGTTTCTGTTAAATAGATTAAATTTTTTTTTTTTGACTGATGATATTATGAAAGCTGCCACCTTCTGGAGTATACAGAACTTATGCTAGCTTTTCCAAACCATTTTCCAATCATTTCCAACCAGTTTTTATAGTCACTGGTCATTTCTTTATTTTTTAAGCAATGCAATCATTTGAGAGGTAAGAACAAATGCATTCCTTAAACATACAGTAATGTTCCCCTTTTTCTCTTATTAAAGGTTAAAACTGCTTATAAGTGTGCATGTGTCTTACGAGATACCATAAATCCATACCTACTGCGGAGAATGAAGTCAGATGTCAAGATGAGCCTGTCTTTGCCGGATAAAAATGAACAGGTTTGTAAATTCAGGAGTTAAGAAAGCATTTCTAAAGCACAGGTGTGCCTGCCCCTTCACTCTCATTCTCCCGTGCCTGCAAGAGAATCAGACACGGCTGGTAGGTGTGGTCCTGGAGCTGTGGCTGGGGTGGTGCGTTTCTGGGTGCACCTGTATGGGGCTGGTGGCCCTGCTGCGGTGTCTGCCCTCAGTGGACTCTTTCCTAGTCACAGGCTTTGACCTCCCTCTTACTAATACAGGGGTTCCTACAGCTCCTTTTAAATGTCTCCATTTTCCTTAAACCCCCAATTCGTTCACGGTCCAAATTGTGTTAGGTGCCAGCCATGTATGTGCCTGGCATGATTCTAGGCTCTGGGATATAGCAGTGAACAAAGCAAGTTTTGTTCTCTTGGAACTCACATTTATTCTTGAGGGGGCGAGAGGGTCACAAGTAAATACAGATGATGTCATGTGGCAGTAAGTGTGGAGAAAAATGAAGCTGGGTTGAAGGATAATCTGGGGTTGCTGAGGCCAGGATTTGAGGAATCGGGCCTTTTGTAAGTGTGGTCAGAGAGGAGCTCCGATGCACTGGCCCTGGAGCAGGGGAAGGAGCGAGTCAACAGGTTTTGGAGGCAGAGCATTCCAGGGGGTGGGCTGTGCCAGTGTGCTGGGCGCAGACCAGCAGGCAGGCCGGTGCTGGCAGGGCGGCAGGCGAGGAAGTCGGATTGCCTGCTGGAGGCCGTGTGCCAAGGGCCTGCTGGGCACGCGGAGAGTGTAGCTTTTGCTGTGAGTGAGGAGTTATTTCATGGGAAAATACTGAGCAAGGGAGTAGGTGTTAAAGGATCATCCTTTTCAGTTCCACCCAGTGTTCTGTAATCTTAACAGGCTATTGCACCCTCTCCTCAGTGCCCCAGAGTAAACACGTTGTAGGTTCTGAATGTTGAAACTAAACGGTCCTCAACGTCTGTCATCAAGGCTGCTTTCATCCTGGCCTCTTCCAAAACTCATCTCCGAATTTAGCGCTTTATCTTTGCATTCCCCTCAAAGCTCCCCCTTCCTGCCTGTTCCTCAGGCCGCAGCTCGGAGCCTCTCTAATTCCAAATCGGCCGGTTGCTCTGGGGTTTCACTTGTCCTTTTTCATCCCCACTCTCGCTGTTTCACGTGCTGTGGCTGTCCTCGTAAATCAGTGCAGCCTCCCAACCGTGGGGGCTCCCCGCTCTTCGGTTCTGCACGTGGTTGCTGGATCGCTTTTTCCAAGGCTCGTCTTCTCGTCAGCACACCTTTGCTGTCACCCCGCTGCCTGCTAAAGGACACCACTCCGCCTGTTTTCACCATTTAGCTCACTGCGGCATCCCCATGTGTCTCTCCCCGTACTCCAGGCTGTAGCCAAGGCACATGACTTCCTGTGTTCCAGACACGTGTTTCTTTCCCTTGGCACGTGACGTCCCCTGCACCTGGAGACTTTACCACACTTACTGCACCCCCAGCAAACACATGGACTTCCCCTTTAAGATCCTGCTGGGCTCTCTACTAGACTAGGAACCCCTGGAGGTCCTAGTCCTTGTCTTACCCATCTAAGAATCCCTTTGACACCTGCCACGATGATTCGCAGGGACTAGGCACCTGGCGAGTAATTTGTTCAGTTAACTTTGTGCTTGAGAGGAAAGGCTTCTTCTCTGTTGTCATCATAGGTAAAGGACTGAAGTACAAACTTAAGAAATTAAGAATTATAAACCCCTTCAGGTTCATGTTTTAGAAGGGTTTCTCAGGTAGCATTTGAAAACATCAGAAGGGAAGGAAAATGGGGCAAAAGGATGAGTTAGGTGGTCCTGCACGGCCTTGGAGAGAAGAGGTGGGCTGGCGCCTCGCTCAGATCCGCCACAGTAGACGTTTCAAAAGGACACACAGCGTGGAGGGAGTGGCTGATGAGTTTAACTTAGGGTATACTGGAAGTGCCCGTGGGACTTCCACTTGCCAAGAGTCAGTTGTAAGTGGGTCTAGAGCTCTGAGGAGAGGTCTAGGCTGGCGGCGAGCAGGGGTGGTGGTGCAGTTCTGAGCAGGCGTAGGTTTGCCCGAGGAGGACGTGTCACGTGAGCAGAGAGGGCAGCCTGGAGGGCAGCAGCGTGTGAGGGGAGAGAAAAGGAAGAGGAGTGGCCTGGAGCCGGAGCGGCTGAGGCTGCGGGCAGGAGGGGTGAGAAGAGCACTCTGGAGGCCTGGGCGTCAGAGAACAGGGTAAGTGGGGCCAGCTGGGAGGAGCCTGGTGTGTGCAGCAGCCGGGAAGTTGTCCGTGCTGGCGTCCGGAAGAGCCTCAGTGGCATCAGCGGAGGCGCTGGTCAGGCGTGCACTGGCTGCAGGCTTGACGACTGACTGGGGGCAGGAAGTGGAGATGGGGGCTGTGCACTGTTCTCTCGGGGTCACCCCCACACCGACTTTTGGAGAGTCTGATGGGTGGGCACTGTCCTGAGGAGGTGAGCTGGTTTCAGATGCAGTGCAGAGGTTGAAGGGTTGCCTTGATCCTGCATGGAAACCTCTTCCTCTGGGAGTAAAGGAAATGAGGCAAAGTGGATGGAGAAGTAGAGATGTTTCAGGGAGTGAAAACTAGGGAATCATGCCTGGTTCTGGTAGCTTCGGGTTTGATCTTTGTTGTTTCGTTTTTATTTCTTTAATTGTTTTTAAGTAGAGATTGAGACAAAGGTGGGTGGGTGGCTTGGGCAGTGGGCGGTGCCTGTGCAGCCAGACACTGCGTGGAGGACCCCTTGGAGCAAGAGTAGGCAGTGGCAGGATGCACCAAGGGGGCTGTTCTCTAGCAGTGCTCAGCACTGACCACAGGAGTAGAGAAGGTACATGGCTGAGCTGATCCGCGTTTGGAAGTTTACAGGCAGGCGCAGGGGGTTGAAAAGGGTCCACGTGGGTGGCAGAGGGGTGGCTGAAGGAACATCCAGTGGGAATATGACTGGCCAAGGAAGAAAGTCAAGCCATGAGGGGTGGCGGTGGACTTGGAGAAAGAGGGGTTGAGAGTCAGAGCACAGTGGCGCAGCGTGGTTGGTGCAGTGGGGGCTGCAGGGTCGGAGTGCCATCCAAGGCAAGCCTGGTAAACTCGTGGGCCTGCGCTTAGGCCTTCAGGCGAGGGAGAGTTCCAGGTGAGGTTAAGGCCCCTGGTCAGGGCTGCAGAGTAGAGAGCGTGGCTGAGGGTCACAGGAGGTGGGATGGTCCCAGCACGTGGAGGCTGGCATGGAGGGTGGTCCGTGCACGTGGGCCTGAACTTGCTGGTGAGCAGGAAGCCAGTCTTCAAGTACTGTTGGGGCAGTGGGGCGGGCCAGGAGGTGGGTGGGTGACGGAGATGGAGGGGCTGCTGAGCAGTAGGACTGTGCTCTCTGTTCAGCCATGAGCAGTATTGTCATCTTTGTTGTTTTAATAAGAGGTGCCTTATTAAAATTGCATACTGTGTGCTCTTCTGATTAGGAAATTTTGTTGATATTTTAATTATTTTATTCTGTTAATTTTTTTTTTTAAATTACAGTTTCTTTGTTTTTTTTCCCCTGTAGGTCTTATTTTGCCGTCTCACAGATGAGCAGCATAAAGTCTACCAAAATTTCGTTGATTCCAAAGAAGTGTACAGGATTCTCAATGGAGAGATGCAGGTCAGCTGAAGAGTAGAAGCTGGAGAAATGAACTGTGCACCCAGGGAACTGTGGGAGGAAAGGAAACCAGGATCTAGAATGTGCCAGGCCTTTCACACAGTGGCAGTTCACTCGTGGTAGATGTGGGGTCAGCGTACGGTTCGGACGCGTAAGGTGCAGAGCAGTTAGTTGACTGGGGGAAGGTTGCAGAGCCGTGAGCTGTGAAACTGGAACCCAGAGGCAGGTGTGACCACCAGGCCGTGTAGTTGCTGTTACTCCCGAGGGTCTTACGTGGCAGGTGGGTGGATGTCAGGGTGTTTCCCAGAAATTATGAACAAAGGACATAGTGTGAAGAGGATCGCGAGGATGCTTAAGTTTCATCAGCTTAGATAAACGTTTATGAACCACTGCGATGTTAAAACCAGATGGAATTCTGGTTCGGATGTTTCTGGCTTTAATTCTCATTGTGCCCAGTGTGTGAAAGGAATTTATTTATGGTCATTCTGTTCCTTATACTGAGAAAGCTCTCTTTCTGCTGTTGCCCAGAATCCAGAAGTTACTAGGTAGTGTCTGCTTTGAAAAGCCTCACTGAGTGTGTAACATCAGCGTGGTAGAATGTGGCTTTTGGAGCACCTGCGCCGCTGCACTGGCGTGAGAACGAGTTGCTGGGACTGCACGGGTGATGGAAATGTCATGGGCTGGCTGAGGCACGTGTGCTGGAAGCTGGGCGTCATTTTACTCGGATGGCACATGCTGCCACTGGGCCAGGGGTTCCCTGTGACCCTCTTGAAAACATTTCAGTGAGAACCCTCGCTGAATTCGAAGCCCTTCTGGAAGTAAGAGAACACATGACTAAATTTAGCACACTGCCTTTTCGTCAGTACTGTGGTGCTGTTACCGTTGAGGCCCACACTGTGTGGTCCAGCAGAAGAACCGCACTGAAGGACGGGATCTCAGTGACGAGTCCTGCAGGGACTGGTGATCTCATGCAGAAAGTAGGGGACAGCCCACAGTGCTGGGGTGTGTGAGCACACGGAAGAAGAATCATTTTTATGGATTTTTCTGTAGGTGATGACATTTTAGCTATTAGCAATACTTGGTGCCAACTGTGGGTGTATGTCTGTTCGATAAGCATATGTAGTATGTTTATAGTCAGCATGCAGTCTGCAGCTTCAGGTAAACTGTTCCCTTCTTCGTATGTCAGTGTCCTAACCTGTGAGTTGTGTCTTACTGATTTCACACGTAAGATTCCTAGGCCAAGGAGATTCCACAGTGATCTAGCACACACCCTCCTTGCTGTCATCCTGGGCGAGCTGTCTTTGTGGGGTGCTTTCAGAATAGACCTTAGGAAGCCAGTCCATTTGGTGTCAGGCCTTCCTGTAGCGAGCGCATGCTTGCGTGCGCTCAATTCACGTTGCCCTTTGTGCCCGTGGTCCTTGCTCCGTGCTCACTGGAGCGCAGCTGAGTAGCACTGTGTGCTCTGAAGTACACACTGGCCTGCTCACGTGCTGGTAGGTACATGAAGAGAAGAATGGGGTGACGCGGCTGCCTGTGTGCATGACATCCAGGTGCTTTCTCTTCCAGGTCAAGTCATTTCAGTTCTTTTAACCATCTCTCACGATTTCTTACTTCCTCTATCACTGGTATCTATATACTGGTCATTCACATTTATTCGTCTCAATCTCCCCTTCTTCGTGTCCCTCCAAGTTAGGTGGTCTGGATCACACTATCCACCAGAGACAGAATGCAAGCCACACTTGTGAATTTTCTAGTAGTCACATTAAAAAAGGAAAAAAGAAAAGCAAGTGAAATTAATTTTGATCATATATTTTATTTAACCTAATGTATCCAAAGTATCATTTTAATATGTAATCAAAATTCTAAAATGATTGAGATATTTTACTTTTCTTTGTACTAAGTCTTTGAAATGGAGCATGTGTTTTCCATCTGCAGCATATCTCAGTCTGGACTAGCCACCCTTCAGGTGCTCAGTAGGCATATGTGGCCAGCAGCTACTGGATTGGACAGTGCAGATCGAAAGGAAGAAAAGTCAGTTACAGATGGCTCTTTGGGGAGTTTTGACGGTGTTTCTGATTTGTTCAGATCTTTTTTCTAGATCTTTTTCTGTTAATTTGCTTAACCGTTGTTTATAGTTAACAGCTATCATACCCTTTGATGATTGGCTTAATTTATGATTTCTCTTTTTCTACTTGAGTTTTTATAACAGTGAGTTTAATTTGAGTCACACTCTGAAAGCTGTGAAAGAGCCCCATTATTCAAGTTGTGTTAAGGCCGTCCTGCTCTCATGGGCCTGGGTGCGGGGACACCCACCCCTGGTCTCTTGTGCCCTCCTGCATGAACCATCCTTTGCATCTTTCCCATTTTTTAATTTTTCATGCAAATTTGTTTTCTGATATAATAATGTAAAGGTAAATGGAACTTTAACCTCTGACTTGTATTAAAACTACAGAACTTTTAGTGAGATACTTAGGAGTGTGGTATTTAAATGCATTTGATAAGTCACATGACTTGATTCCTCCAAATTTAGGTTCATATGACATTTCTGATCTATATTTAAAAGGTAAGTCAGTTTTTTTATACCAAGTTTATAATGCTATGAATTGCATACATTTTTTTCTAGTGAGGAAAAATGAATTATCAGCCATTAAATATGACCCCTATAAACCTGTTCAGTCCAATAGAATTTTTTTGTTTCCAGAGAACTTGTCCTGTCAGAGAAAGAAGATGCGTGAAAGTTAATTTCCTCCAGCTCCTGATAACGCTGTGATTAGGGAAGAAACTAAGAAGCTGGTGAAGGGTCACTTTTAATCTGTGTTACATGTTGGATAGCCTCCTTCCCTTCCTTCCCGAGTGAATTTCATTTTACATGGGGTAATCTGAGTACACATGTGGTTCTTTCATACCATAGATTTTCTCTGGACTTATTGCCCTAAGAAAAATTTGCAACCACCCTGATCTCTTTTCTGGAGGTACCAAGAATCTCAAAGGTCTTCCAGAAGATGAACTAGAAGAAGATCAGTTTGGATACTGGAAACGTTCTGGGAAAATGATTGTCGTTGAGTCTTTGTTGAAAATATGGCACAAGCAGGGTCAGCGAGTGTTGCTGTTTTCTCAGTCAAGACAGGTGAGTGTACAGACCTCATGCAAGAGACAAGTGGGTTCTTTATGAGTCACACTCATGACTTCAAAAAACGGGATATAATCTAAAATAATCATTCTAAAGAAAGTCTTCCGCAGATGCTCAGGTGGCAGCCTGTAGCCTTCTTTGGGAGTTTGGCCTTTCTCTAGCGGTGTCCGGAAGTTGACTTTTTAAAAAAATCTCACCATGTGATTCTGGTGTGCTGGTGAATTTGGGCCTGAGCTCAGACTATTTATAAAAATTGTAAGAATTAACCATAAGGAAATACCAGAATTACTCTTGTAACAGTGTATTTATCTGCCTTAAAATAAGAAACCCCTTTTAACACAGGCCTGTTGGGGAGGGTGCAACACCAACACAGAAGACTCTCTGGGAGCGTGACTTCGATTTGAAAACTCTTGTCCCCCAACTCCCAACAGATGCTGCACATACTTGAAGTATTCCTTAGAGCCCAAAGGTATTCCTACCTCAAGATGGATGGTACCACCACAATCGCTTCAAGACAACCACTGATTGCAAGATACAATGAGGTAACACGCGAACGTAACAGGAGTCACATGGTGCTACTGTACGTGGAGGGACAGGAGTGAGCCCCCCACACCCACCCGAGGAGTGCTTACTTCTGGGCTTGGCTAGGGGGTGAAGGGGGACTTTTTACTTTTAACTCAGCGCACTTTTGGATTATTGAGAGGTGCGTGCATGCACGTGTATGTTTAAACAAAGCGTGTATTTTCCTGCTTGAAAACCCAATTTTAAAATATTGCTAATATGATTAATATTAAAAGTAAGAGCCCTGAGGTGAGCTCTTGATTCACCAAAGGTCTGTAGGCATAAGCATTGCTTGGGTTGGGAACAGCCCGGTGGCTCCGCGTGTGGAACGTGTGAAGAGCTGTAACTGGTCGCACATGTGCACGCTGAGTGTTGTGTGTCTTGCCTCTAGGACAGATCCATATTTGTGTTTCTTCTGACCACTCGGGTGGGCGGCCTCGGCGTTAACCTGACGGGGGCAAACAGAGTCATCATCTATGACCCTGACTGGAACCCAAGCACAGACACGCAGGTCCGTTTTTTGTTTTTTATAAAAGAATGTGTGTCTGTATGTATAAACACAGTATATATGTGCATGTATGTGTATATGTATGTATACACATATGCACATACGTATGTAGTAGAAATGTTGTTTCACGGTTAGCCCTTGGGATTGTCCTCTGATGTTCTGGTTGGCTTCAGTGTGCAGTCACATTTTGGTTGTTTCCTGTTCTTCAACGTGAAGGAAGACGCCCTTCAGAGTCCCACAGACAGGAACAGTCAGCAGTTTGTGCATAGAATCCATTCCTGGATTTGGGGTAAAGAGAACATAAGCGAGGTTATAAACATCTTTTTCCCGTAGAGATGTCTCAGTTCTGTCTCTGTCAGTCGGCTGCTTATCTCCCTTCATAGCCCTTGTGGGGACGTGGCCTCGTTAGCCAGAATTCCACCTCTGGAGTGAAAAGGAGCAAGCAGCCGTCTTTTTTCTTTTAGTCAGAGGTGCTTGTTGCTGGGAAGGGTGTCTCTCTCTGCTGCAGGCCCGGGAGCGAGCGTGGAGAATAGGCCAGAAGAGGCAGGTGACTGTGTACAGGCTGCTGACCGCGGGCACCATTGAAGAGAAGATCTACCACCGGTCAGTACTGGCTGTCACTCTCCACGCTGCGACCAGAGCTTTGAGCAGGAATTTTTTTAAAGTGTTGTTTTAAAAGTCTTTCCATCTTAGAGTAATAGTTACTATAACTTAAGGGGGGACATCCTAACAGTTTTTTGTTTTTGTTTTGTATTCTTTCCCATTAGAATAAACTTAGATGACTTATTGTGAGTTTTTAAGAAATGTCTTTGAACCTGATAATTTTTGTACTTTGTTCTGCTTCAAGGACCACTTATATGTGAACTTCATGTTAATTATTCTGTGAGAGAATGTTCCTACCTACTGTAGTGTGCCACTTTCAGAAAAATTTTAAAAAGTGACAAAGTTGAATGCTACCATATCGGCATTTAATTACACACACTATGTAGGTGTGACCAAGTGGGTGTCTTGGTGGTCTTTGACTGTGATGCCCCTTAGCGGTTGACAGGACACCCATTTCTTCCTCTGTCTGTCTAATGACTAGGGGATTTTAGGCCATGGTAACTTCAACAGCAGAGCCAAGGCATTGCCAGCTTCTCCTCCTCCCCACCAAAGACGGTTCTTGCGCTGTAGTCCAGCTCCTACAGGAAGCTGCCGCTCTCCACCTTGTGCTCGGCCACTCCTGGAATGTTCCATGTTCTTCAAGGGCGTGTTGTGAGAGGGCGGGAGATGAGGCGAATCCTGTGAGAGGAGGGCTTCCTGTTAGAGGTCCAGGCTTCAGCCTGGAGAATAAATGCCGGGGGGCAGTGCTGTTTGTGGAGGTACCTGTGAAGAGTGACGATGGTGTGGGGCTTCACAGAGTGGGCCAGCAGGTGGGAAGGAGACAGGTGAGAGTGAGCTAAGAGAGTGTCCTGGGCCCCACCACAAGCAGGGCAGGGCAGGGCACCGCACTCTTGGTCTGAGAGTCAGGGAGGCCGACTCCTTGCAGCTCAGAGAGGCTGTGAGTCACATGAATGTGTGGAAGGATCTTGGAGGTTGAAAAAGCTTACTGGGTGTAAATAATAAGGTATCATTTCCAGTTTAAGTTCTGTAAGACATGCAAGACCAACCGAAGTGTTTTATACTTCCCGAATTATAATTTTCCAAGACTGAAGGTTTGGGGGATTATTAATATTTAGCCATTTGTGCAGCTTCTATCATATTTGTCTTATATTGTTTTATAACTTGAATTTTGAGGTAGAGCTAAACATTGTTTTATACCAGTTTGATTTTTATCTTTTTAGACAAATCTTCAAGCAGTTTTTGACAAATAGAGTGCTAAAAGATCCAAAACAAAGGCGGTTTTTCAAATCCAATGACCTTTATGAGCTGTTTACTCTGACTAGTCCCGATGCATCCCAGAGCACTGAAACAAGTGCTATTTTTGCAGGTATTGACATAAAATTATTTAATTCGAACTAGTCAATTATATAAGAATTATGCAGTATAATATTAACTGTGTCTTTCCTCTTAATAGGAACTGATTCAGATGTTCAGACACCCAAACGCCATTTAAAAAGAAAAATCCAAACAGCCTTTGGAACAGACCATGATGCTCCAAAATGCAAAAAGTTCCCTGATTCTAGTACATCTGCAAATGATGCCACATCATCTGAAAAGAAATCTGAGGCTGTAGGCGCCAAAGTAATTGCACTGACTTCTGATCAAGGTGATCTTTTGAAAGGTGACCCTCACATGAGCAGTACTGTAACTAGCAGCAGTAGGCCTGGAGAAGAGACAGGCGCGGTGTCTACACCAGAGAAGTCACCAGTGGTTAGTGGAGATGGGGGATGTTCGCATTCTTCCGGAATCGGCAGTATGTCCAGGCCGTCTGGTGAGGAAAGCACCGATGAAAAGCAGGGTCTCTCTGATGAAAGAGAAAGCTGCCAGGGTCAGACGGAACCTCTCTGGGAGAATGAACAAATGGAAAATAATTTCTGTAAGCATAAGTCAAAAACAAAACATCAGAATGTGGCAGAAGCAGAGACCCTGGAGAAACATGTGAGACCAAAGCAAAAGCCTAGGAACTCTAAGCATCGCAGAGACGCCAGGTTTGAAGGAACGAGGATTCCACACCTGGTGAAGAAAAGGCAGTACCAGAAGCAAGATGAAGAGAACAGGAGTGAGGCCAAGGAACAGAGCAATGACGATTACGTTTTGGAAAAGCTTTTCAAAAAATCAGGTAATCCTTTTGCTTGCTGCGTGTGCCGCAGGGGCGCTGGGAGCGGAAATGAGTGGGCTGTTGCAGGCAGTAGCAGCCTTTCTCTCGTGGTGCGGAGTGGGCCCTCAGCCGGCAGTCCTTCTCTTCAGAAACTCAGGTTTGAAATGTATTGACATTTTGGAAATTGTATTGAGCCCTCTTCCTGAAGAACTTCACTTTCTTGATGCTATCCTGTGAGCAAAAAGTTCTTAGTGTGATGAAGGTAAATTCATCTATTTTTTGTTCTTGTGTCACTTTTTATTGCCATACCCAAGAAGGCTTTGCATAATTAAGGTCATGGATGTTTACTCGTATGTTTTCTTCTAAGTTTTAGCAGTTTTAGCTCCTACATGCAGGTCTTGATCCATTTTGAGTTAATGTTTGTGTTTGGTGTGAGGAAAACAATAGCACTTGACTTAGGGCCACTTATAGGATGGGTGCAGTGCTTTAAATCGATGTGTACTACCTGAATATTAGGCAGTTTCTTTCCATGCTGTATATACCTGATTTTTCCAACCACAGGACATTAAAGTGACAGATCATGGTGAGAGAGACAGGAGTGTGGCCAGAGGCAGGCATCCTACAAGTAGGAAAGCGGCTAGCTGATACCAAGGGAGAAAAATCAGGAGTAGATGTAGCAGTTGCTCAAGACCATGAAGGACACATAGCCCTGCGCAGCTTAGCCATCGCTGGGAGTTTCATCTTGTCCAGCCCTTAGCAGTCGTCATCCACAGCGTGACGGCCTTGAGTTACCGAGGGTTGCTGTTCACGGTACTCTAAGTTTAACAAGGCAGGTTTGTGTATGGCATTTGAGAAAGACTTTTATTTAGCGTTGTTACATTTTTTTGTTAATTTCTTATTTTGAAATAATTTCAAACTTAAAGAAATAAGTTTGAATAGTACAAAGAACTCTCCTATATCCTTTACCCCAGTTGTTAACATGTTTCAGCATTTGCTTTGTGATTCACACGCATGTGCATTCGTGCATGCATTTTAGCGGGAATACCATGGAAGTGGTACTGTGCCTTACTCTGTATGGCTGTCGGGAGACACGTGTTGTTGGTTTGTCCTATTGCGGTTAAGAGTGTAGGTTTTAAGATCACTGTTAAGGTGGGGTCTGCCAGATTTCTCAACACTAAAAAGTTAATACTTTTCCCTTTTAATTAATTTGTACTTTGAAGGAAAGTACTTTAAGACTGTGTAAATATCCTATTTCACAGCGAACTTTTATCCATTAGTTTTAACATCCATTGATAATTCTTTCCTGAGCCAGTTATTATTACAGTAGTTGCCAATGGTGATTTTCTACGTGTAGATAATACAGGAATTCACCATGTTTTCTTGTACCACTTGTATGGTGTTTTACATTCAGATCTCTGACCTATTTGGAATATGAGGTATGGATTTTATCTTGTTTCTAATAACTCCCCAACTTTTCTAGCATCATTTATTTAAAATTTATTTTTCCCCAGTGATTTGAGATGCCACCTTTATCATATAATGTACTTCCATATGTAGTTGGGTCTATTTTTGGAGTTTCTGGTCTGTCCCCCGCTTTGTCTATTCCTGCTGCAACACCAAACTGTTAACAATTTCAGTGTCTTTTACTCTTCAGTAGGGTGTCGCTTTGCCTTTTCAGTGTTTTCCTAACTATTCGTGCACATTTATTTTTCCATGTGAACTTTAGTATCAGTTTGTCTAGCTTCACAAAAAAAGTTGTTACTGTATTGGGATTGCATTAAATGTATAATTAACTCAGGGAGAATGACTATTGAGTAATTCTAGGTAAGAACAAGGGATGTTCTTTATATTTTTCAAGCCTAATAATATGTCTTTCCAGGAGTATTTATAAATTTTCTCCATGTAGGCTTTACATATTTCTTGGGTTTATTCCTAAGTTTTTTACCTTTTTTGTTATTGTAAATGGAGTTTTTCCCGCCATTGTATCTTTTAACTGGCTGTTTATGAATAGGAAGGTAGGTTATAAGTTTCTGTGTGTTAATTTTATATCCTTTTATTTTTTCTGAATTCTATTGTTTAAGTTTTATCATTAATTCTGTAGGGTTTTCTAGGTATGCTATCATTAAAAAAAAAAGACTAAAAAAGAAAATTTCACCTTTTCATTTTCAATTCATGTCTCTAATTGATCTCCCTTTTCTAATTGCACTTGGCAAATATGAAGTAAATATTAAGTATTGGAGATAATGGACATCTTATCTTTCCTATTCTTGGTGAAAATAGCCTCCGGTGTTTGTTTACCCACTGAGTAAGAATGTGGTGTTTTTGTTTTGTTTTGTTTTGTTTTTTGAGACAAGAGTCTCGCTCTGTTAGAGCCTGGGCTAGAGTACCGTGGCTTCAGCCTAGCTCACAGCAACCTCAAACTCCCGGGCTCAAGCGATCCTCCTGCCTCAGCCTCCCGAATAGCTGGGACTACAGGGGCATGCCACCACGCCCAGCTAATTTTTCTATTTTTAGTTAGAGATGGGGTCTTGCTGTAACTCTGGCTAGTCTTGAACTCCTGACCTCAAGCGATCCTCCTGCCTTGGCCTCCCAGAGTGCTAGGATTATAGGCATGAGCCACCTCGCCCAGCCTAAGAGTCTGGTGTTAAGACTGATAAGCTATATGTTTTATTATATTTTTTAATTTCAATTTTTTTTTTAATTTTTTAAGCTGATCTCGAACTCCTGACCTTGAGCAATCCTCCTGCCTCAGCCTCCCAGAGTGCTAGGATTACAGGCGTGAGCCACCTCGCCCAGCCTAAGGAAATGTTTCTGAAGGCTTTTTTCAGAGTCATTTGACTCCATGATCTGCACTTTTAGAACCCTCTCTTGAATCATTGATGAGTTAGGCTCCCTCCGCAGTCAAATAAGAGCTTCCAATCCTATGAAGT